ATGTTATTGATTCTATAGGTCAGTTTTAAAATTTTTATTTCGGTAAGTGTACAATAAATGATTTTATTTATGATAAATAAATTTACCTAAATCAAGAGTTCCACCTTCATTTCTGTATCGGTAAGTAGTGTGACATTCTTACTGGGTTAGTGTAGCTCACTCTTTCATTAACCATTTCATATCAAGAGGATTAGAATTCAGATCCCGATCCACAAGAGGGTTGCGAATAAGATGTTCAGTTGTTTACTTTCTATTTATTTCTTTAATTATTCGTTGTTCTTTTAGAATGGTTATTATCGTATCTCTATTAGTTATTTTAAATTATTGTGTAAGAAATGTAAACATTAACGTTATTATTTCGCTTTCGCATTTAAATTTATAATTTATTTCATTTCAAGTTTCGAACTGTTACATGTACACTAATAATAATAAAAAATAACACAATTAATTTACTAATGAATACACATAGATATAAAATGCATAACTTAATTTGAAGTTATAAGCTCGTAGAAAATAATTTAAAGTGCGAAACTTCCGGACAGGAGATATGAAGAATACTTGCTTGAAAAGTCAACGTGGTCTAAGAAAAACTTGTCATGGAAGAATACGTCGCCCTGCACTTCGCAGCAAAATAATCGATACTTCCTGCAAATTAAACTTCTCTAATATTCACGCGGTATATACATATACACACTGAAATTTCTTTACGTCAATACTTACACCAGCGCCTTCCGGAGTCTGTTAACTACAAATTTTAAGAAATAATTTTTATTTTTAACAAAAATTTACACAATAAAATTTCAGAAGTTATTTATATCTAACAAACACTTTTGTTAAAATATCTTTTAATAATACTTTTAAAATTTCTGACTGATATTGTAAACTAAAACGACACACCGTGTTTTCTGTACATATGCTGAAATTTTAATTTCCTGGAATAAGAGAGGAAACATCTCCCGTAACACCCAATCAATACTTATTTTGTTGTCTATATAAACCTAGTGATTGATAGTCCGTTTAACGTCCAGACTTCTTTTAATTTCTTTCCTTCCTTTGTTCTTATATACATATGTGTGTGTGTGTGTATGTATATATCACCTCTACCTGCAACCTTCTTATCTTTCTATTTTGGTGATTGATAGATTGTAAACTTTTCTCTTCTCGGCAGATACGTATTACACTTCAGAGGTGATCATTCAGCTTCGAGGCATGTATGTGTGTGTTTTGATTATATTATCTTGCATGCACCCATAAATAATTAACATAGTTTTATTTTCAAGTTAATAGTTTATAATTCACATATTTTCTCTTCTTGATCTTGATTAGTAGTTAGTCAACTTAATTATACCATGTTATGATGTTAATTAATTTACTTAATATACTTGGAACTTATGCTATATGAAGATTTCAAAACAATGTAATTGTTATTGTTATATTTTCCTGGTGCACACTTCATACATTGCAGTTACATGAATAGACAAGCCCATAGAGAAAATTATATAGTAATAAGTAGAATGACCAAACATACATACATATATATATATATATACACATAATAAGTTATTATAGAACTTCAAGCTTGGTGTACGATCCCACAACTCCGAATGCTTCTTTTAAAAAGAGAAATCTACTTCTTAATTTAGATTTCCTCATTATTTATTATTTTTTTGTTAGGATTTTATCGCAACAATTATGGGATGTGTAAACAGCTCTTCTGTTAGTCACTCTGAGCATGAACTTAAGCCAAGGAACCGTTTGCAATCCTGTACATGCGATGGTTGTTCTAGCAACCTGAATCATGAGCTTCAGGTAAAAGATCATTTGCAACTCGACAAATGTGACAATTACTGCAGCCATCCAGAACATAAACTTGAGAAAAAGAAAATTTTACATCCCTACACATGTGATGGCTGCAAAGAGACAGGATTTGGATCAAGATACCATTGTGAACCTTGTGACTATGATCTTCATGAGGCTTGTATGTTCCCTAGCCCCACAATTCACCATGAATTTTTCAAAAATTCAACCTTTACATTTTTTAAAGAATCTTCTATACATAACTGTAATAAATACAATTGCAAAGATCATAAAAGATACTGTGATGCATGTACAAAACCTATAAACGGTTTTGCATACCAATGCAAAGAAAAAAAATTTGATTTACATCCATGTTGCATGAACTTAAAGTCTGAATTAAACATTCATGGAACAAAATTTCGACTTCGGAAAAGTATGGATGTTTCAGAAAAGTTATGCAAGTGGTGTGATAGAAGAAAACTCAACGTTAAAGATTGCTACTCAAGTGTTGGAGGATTGTCTTATGTGTCTGAAAATGAAGACTACCAGTTTCATGTGTATTGTGTTAACGAATTCATACTTGAATCATTGGAAAAGAATGGAGGAAATGGTAATGCATGGGCGAAGAATAGAGAGAAGAACAATAATGATAATGATGATAATGATTGTTTGGTTCTTGAGAAAATTGAGCTTCCTATTCAACGTCTGAAAAGAAACAAAAAGGATGGTAAGTGGTGGAAGATAGCCAAAATAATGGTCAAAACCATTATTGGCATTCTTCTTGGTGATCCAACTTTCCCTCTTGCATTCATAGATTTGTTTACATAACTCATTAATGGAGGTTGTGTTTCTATTTCTAGTTAGATAAATTAGGGTTTAAAAATTCACTATATAGTTTAGGGTGTGCTATATATATATGATGTATTCCTTTTCATGGGTACTTGTACCCACGTTTTGTAAAGATCCCAGTAATATTTCATTTATGTGGATATTGTTAGCATTGATTTTCTTTCTCTCTTAAATCTTCTCCAATTTACTGCCTCTTGATAATTTTAGATCTATGCGCTGGCTATAATAAATTGATTATGATCTTGGTTTCAGTTTGGGCTTTTTGAAATTAGGACAATTAAGTTATATTTGAAACCAGACCATTTAATTGGAATTTTTAAATTTTAAATTGATTTGGGCTTTAAATTTGGATTGGTAAGGTCATGTTTAAAATTAAACCCAAAAACAATTTATTATGGGCATTGAGGATCTATTTTGATAGAGATATTATATTATATTTAATTATATATATATAAAGAAAAAACAATAAAAAAGTTAATGAAAATAATCAGATATAATCTAAATCAGAAAATACCAAGTATATCCTCACGGAGGATGCTCAGGAGTTCAGGTAGTCAGCGTCTCTGTTGCCCTCCCAGTATGTATGTTATATGGTATTCTTAATACATGAACAATTTTTACCAGTTGCAATCACAAATTAATTATCAATATCTTACCACTTGTTGATAAGAAATTGAATTTCTAACACCCAAATAAACACACACCTACAATCACAAATTACATGTATTAATATTTCAGATGAAGCATATGATTCAAACAAATAAACCCTGTTATGACATATATAAATTAACAACCAATTAATATTAATTAATTAATCAATCAATTAATTAATTATTGACTCGCTTAGGTAGTGCATAAGAAGAGAGAGTGGATAAAACTGCAGTGAAGACGAATGCAATGAGAAGAAGACTGCAAGATGCATGTGCCTTGCTGAAGAATTTATCAATATTGGAGCTTGATTCTGGGAATATTATCTTTACGGTATCTTTTAAGTCTTTGCTAACACCAAATCCAGCTGCAGCACCTGTTGCTAATACATACGATATAAACTGATACCCAAAAGAAGAAAAAAATTGATTCATCAGTAAAAGTTTGTGTTGATTATATATATATATATATATGTATGTATGTATATCTATGCATACATACCTTATCACCGTAGAAATCAAAGAGCAAGTGTCCTTGGCCACCTATAACGTGATTTCCAGTTGAAAAGTGGCATAATGTGAATCCAACTTGCAAGATTGTGTAAGCCAATCCGATTACCACCGCAGCCAGCATATAACTGCACAGAAAGTTACATCAATAAATTAAATACATATATATATATATATATATATATATATATATATCTACTATGAGATCTCAATTTCAGGTGAAAAAAATATATAATTATTGAACTACATATATAAAATAAAATCATAAACTACAAATAACTTAAGTTTAAAATTTAACAACTAATAGTTTGAGTTTAAAAATTATTAAACCAGCGATAATTGGGTTCGAAACCTTATAATTATTGAACTATATGTACAAGATAAAATCATACACTATCAATAACTTAAAATTAAAATTTTAAAAATGGATGGTTTAACGCTGTGAGTCAATAGTATTTGAGTATAGCACCTTATATATGTTGTGTATGCATAGAATATTGCAGTACGTACCGATAAGCGTAGATGTCGTTGAATCTAAGCTTAAGCACAGCAACGAGATCGCTGGTGAGAGTGACTTCTAAGGATGTTTTGTTGGTGATGAGGATGATGATTGAGATAACAAGAGAAGCTACT